CAATTGAAACAGATTGGTTTAAATCTAGTCAATTACCCTTTCATACCAGCTGGTGGATGGGAAGGACTGTTGGAGGTCGGACTTGGATAATGAAGGATAGCGAAGTCCCAAGCAGCCGTTTTATCAAAGACGCTCATGCGAAGAGAGCCATCAGAACAGACTCTCGGATGCATGCTACTTAGATGTTTCAGTTCGCTAAAGTCAACTTTGTAGCAGTTTCCCGATTGGAAATCCATGGATCAAAGAGAACTTCTCCCCATGGCATTTTGCCTTTCATTGAGTCCTTTCTTTCTCAATGCAAAGGCATCCACGCAGTGCATCATTTTGGATTAGTAGGGCCCTTCGCTACTTCTCACTTTTGTTGTATATCATATCATAGACTGATCGAGCCTAAAGCGGCACGCCCGTCAGTCAGGGCGTATCGTATGTCGGTTGCCTTATTTATATCTACTCTATCAGAACAATTAGTTAGAACTTCTCTCCATCCAATAGAGCTGGTGGAAGATTGGCGGGAGTAGGATTTGAACCTACAACGTTCAGATTATGAGCCTGACGAGTTACCAATTACTCTATCCCGCGCGCGTAGTATTAGTATGACTCTTCTTTGCACAAGAAATCGATAGGTCCAGGCTTGTACCATGTCTCCCAAAATAAATCAGTACATATGGCGTAAGACGATTTCACGGACCGAGCTTTGAATGGGATCTGGTGTTTTCACGTCCTGAAATAGTACCCAGATATTGGGAACTGTGCTTTGCACCTTTGGTAACTACTGATTAGATCGACATTAAATCAAATTTGGATATGGGAGTCAATCCAGCCGCAGGTTCCACTACAGCAACTTTGTTAAGAGTTCACCTCAATCACTATTTCTATCGTGATAGTCCCTATGATCAACAATGCGAAAAACATGTTGTGCACTTTACGTCCGTAACATACCAAAGTCAATGGTTTATCATAGAGACGATTTCGGGCAAAAGAAATTTCGATGGTGTGACGGGCGGTGTGTACAAGGCCTGAGTACATATTCACCGCAGCATGCTAATCCGCGATTACTAGCGATTCCAACTTCATGTTCTCGACTTGCAGAGAACCATCAGAACTGAGGTGATGTTTCAGGATCCGCTCTGCCTTAAAGCCTTGTTTCCTGTTGTCATTTTGACATTGTAGCACGTATGTAGCCCACCCATAAGGGCCATCTGGACTTGACGGCATCCCCACCTTCCTCCAGTATATCGCTGGGAGTTTTTTTGTGAGTGCAGCACATCGTTGCAATGTCTTAGCAACATAAAACGAGGGTTGTGCTTGTCATTGGACTTAATCCAACATCTCATGACACAAGCTGACGAGAACCATGCAGCACTTGTATGGCAAACGTATGTTTTTTTTGTAACTGTGAATCCAAAGGCCTAGTAAAGAGTCAACTCCATACCATACATTTTTGGTCACATCCACTCCGGGATTCAAGGGAGTTCCTTCAGGCTGTGTAGAGTAAATCCTCCTTAGGCTAAGTAGATACCTAGACCTCTTCCCTACTGGCGAAGTAGCCAGTGCTTTTCTGTTACCAGGTCTCTTTCGAGCTAGGCAGGTACTACAGGTATACCTAAAGGGGGCAAACGAGCCACCTATCGCTGTAGTTTCCTTCCACTCAAGCCCATAATGCTCTGGTGTAGGAGGTAATTGCCCCCACAAAAGAACATCATCAATGAGGTGATGTATCTTGTCACATATCTATGAACTGAAAGACCTCACTTTGTGAAAAAAACGGTAAAATTAGAAAAACAAGGCCAGCATGAGGGGCACAATGAAATCATTTGTTTCTCATTCGTCTTTTAAATCCCCTTCGTGCCTCTCACGTACAAGGCTCGCCACATTGATGGAGTTCAGCATGAGCTGCCCACATCCCCGTGTGGCATAACGGCCCACTTGTACGCTGTGAGAAAGAGGCAGAGTAAAGGGTGAGGGGATAAACACAGGGAAGAGAGGTGGAGAGAGGACAGATATAGAACGACAAAGGAAAAGTAAGGGAAAGTACAGAGTGTGGAAAGATGAGGCCAAAGGAGAGGAGAAGAATGAGTCTGTCCTTGACGACAGAGATAACTTACATTGTAAGGATGACGTGGATGAACACATGGAGGACAACAATTGCCACAATGGCTGGCACTGAGCATGCCCACCATACACCCCCAACAAAAGGCATGTCGATTGTAGGCCAAAATAAAGGAAGAACATTCACCATGCATTCACTACAGCGCCCATGACCCCAAAATGGACATATAGTGTCCAGATGCGGACAGCGTCTGCATTCAGGAACAAAGGGAGAGTCCTCTACACACATGGATGCAGTCATTGTGACATGGACAATGGCAGCTACAACCGAGTGTAACAGTGTCTGTAGCTGTGCAAAGGAGAAGGTCTCAGAGCGTTGGTACATTACTACATTGTCCTGCTGCAGCACGGGGCCAGAGAAATCATCTTCGACATAAACAGGATTGCGGACGGTTTGGGTGGCAAGAACATGGCATCATTATGTAAGAAATAAGTAGCATCAGTCATGACATGGACCAGGTCGCCGTAGTCCCACAGCTCCCAGTGGTATATTATAATACATAAAAGGATGGAGGACAAAAGGCATCATACTTATTAACAGCAATTAAAACATAGAACACAAAAGATTTATTGCACCCCAACCCAAAAGGGTCCATATCAAGAACGCGATGACCACACCAGTGAAGCCACCGTAAATCAAACAAACACCGCAGGACCTATCGCAACACCAAGAGCGCCATGAACGTCTTCGAGCCGTGAAATCTGCAGAATCATGGGAAGATGACTACAACTCCAACCCGCTCCACAGAGTTACATTCAAATACCTCATAGTGCTGCGGCGAGGCCACTGCGCGAATTATACCAAACACTACAAGATCTCCACGCGACATCAGGAGCACCACTGCAAACACTCTCTAAGCCTCCTTGCGAAGATACCGTGGCCAAATTTCCAAACATACATTCCCATGCCAAGAAAAACTTGTGGCCACCCACAGACATTCCTTCACCAAAAAGACAGTGCATGCTTTAAAGCAGGGCAAGGAAGGAGGCCATGTATAAATAAACAAACAACCACTGAAACATATCCAACACCAAAAGAAGAATGACTGGCCGATCAAATCTGCCAGCACAGAGAGCTAGAAAGTCCGGAATGCGAGTTGTTCAAGAACCCCACACTCTCTCATCATTCCATTCACAAATCATCCACACACCATACATAAAACAAAGAAGGTATCAATAGGCAATCTAATAGAAGATGCAAGGTTGGCCCCGTTTGTGTGGTTAAGCACCAAGTGCCCACACACTCGTCTGCCGCCAAAGAGTCACACTTGCACCAATATATTATAATCCTGAAGATTGCAGATCCAGTGTTGGCCTTAACGCCGAAGCCGGGTAATGGCCCCGGTGTTTCACATGTTTTGTATAATCCAAATGGGACGCTGGGCCCGGTTCCCAGCATGTGCTGCTCCCCACGAATAGATTGGAGCGATTGTTAAACAAACAAAAAAAAAAAAAAGAGTGTTGGCTTTAACGCCAAACAATCAGAACTGGGGCACTGCTGCAGCAAAATGATTGGCATACGCTCAGCCCAGTAGAGTACCTCTCCAAGTGCATGCCTTCAAAAAGGGTTGCTGCCAACACCTACAAAAGGGAAATCTGCGCTCTATACCATGCCCTTCAGACATGGAGAGAGGGTTGCACCCTCGCCGACCGCTGATGCCGACTACCAAACGGATTCCAGCCGACCAGCCGCGGGTACCGGTGAGCACACAGCCGACCATTCAGCACAAGGCCGTCCACTGTGTCAGATCTGGTTCTGGGGCTGTAAGGAGTTCTATGCAGGCCAAATCTGCTGAGAAACTTGAGATTTCTTCAGTTTGTCTTCCGGGGGGCCAAGGGGTTTGGAGGGGGCTGGGAGGGGTGTTTGGGTGTGGGGGCCGATTTGCAGCATTTCGTGGACGAAAAGATGGAGTCCCCACCATCCCATGAGGCGGGGCGGAAAAAAAAAGAGAAAAAAAGCACACAAAGTTCACCCATTAACTGACGCATTTGCAGACAACCAGTACTCAATTAGAGTCCGATTGTCCCCGCCATCGATACACCGAGCCAAAATCTAGTCCGAGCTGGAGAAGAAGAGGATGAAGATGAAGAAGAAGAAGAACTAACGAAGGAGTAACAAACAAGAATTAGTCTCTCTCTCTCTCTCTCTCTCTCTCTCTCTCTCTCTCTCTCTCTCTCTCTCTCTCTCTCTCTCTCTCTCTCTCACTCAGCATCTGCACAGTTTTATTCGCTGCTGCTACTTGTGTCACTTGATTGACTTGTCGTCGAAGGTGGAGGGGGAGAAGCCGGAGCGAGCGGCTGACGCCTCGGATGGCTCAGATGACTTGCAGAACTCGTCGTCCTCTTGCACACACTTCCTCTTCCTCTTGCACATGCTTCCTCTTCCTCTGCACCAGTTGGCTCTGTGATCACACGGCTGCAGCAGCTTTCTTCTGTATTTTCTGCGCCTCCTTCTTCTTTGCTTCTCAATCAGCAGCACAGTTTTCTTCCAAGCCCTCTGGCAATGTAACGGTCTTGTGAGCCTTGCCCTTCCCACATCCCGTCTTCGATGCCACTACCTCCTCTGGCTTATTCTTTGTCCCTTTCTTTCTCCCTCCCAAGCGTCAATTTCGGGCAGCAACAGCGTGGGATGCCATGCAACACTGTCCAGTTGAGGCGTACGTCTGTCCACCTCAACACCCGGGTCCTCCTCGTGTACACCAGGACATGTCAGCCCTCTGCAGCAACCGGTGCAGTGTCCTCGCTGAAACATGGAATGGGCTGGGTTGGTCCAGTGTTTCTGGCCCAAGCAGGAATGTATGACCCCTCGTCTGACCGCAGCAGGGACAAAGACAAAGGCAAATCAAACTCCTCCCTGTAGCAATGGGGCAAAAAGCGAGGCGGTTTTCTACACCAATCGCAACCCCGCATCCGGATTACACAAGACATCGCTAGATGACGGAGCTGCATCGGCAGCCTCCTCATCAGCAGCATCCTCATCAGCATCCCCAGCCATAGTGGCCTTCCCCGTCTCAGCAACCGGGTCGTCCCCGCGTTCACCAACAACTACATCGCCCTGAACTGTTGTAACATTCGTGGCAACATCTGCCGCCCCAGCAAATGGATCGTCCCCCTGCATACCAACAACTGCATCGCCCTCCACTGCTCTACTGTCCCTGGCAATGTCTGCGGACCCCTCGGTGCCATGCCACCGGCACTGGCTAACTCCCGGCACACAGCTCACCGATGAAGGGCGACTTGTGCGGCTGGAAGTGAGCAAGTCCCACGTGGTGAAGTGACACCACCTGCTATGGAACTCCTTCATAGTGTAAGAACGCCCAATGCCACGGGACTGTCGTGACAAAGAGGCACACTCGGTTGCCAAACTCCCTCCGAATGCGGGACACCCGATGCTGCAACACTATCACATGAAAGAAGAGGCACCACCTGGTTGCCTGGTCCGTCGCCTATACACAAGCTCCACTCCAAGTAATTCCTCATTGTCCCCACTGTGCTCACTCTCTCCTCGATATCTGCAACAACAGACATCGAGGGGTCCTCATCTGCCAGACGCCAAGGGTGGTACGAAAGATCAACGAGTCATGTTCCATCATCTGCGGTCTCCTGCAGCAGTGGCTGGATGTCGAATTTACTTGCCCTCAATCTGTGGCTGCGATATTAGGACCAGTTTCAAGCCCTCCTCTTGACCTCCTTTAAGTCATATCCCCATCTCACATGAACCCGTCAAATGGGGCAACATCCTAAGGTATCTCCAACTCAAGCCGTTCAGTGTTCACAATTTTCTCGCCATGCAAAGCAACTTCTTGTTCCAGCGGATGAAGACAAGCATTCGTAGGTTGTCAGGTCTTAGGAAATACCTCCTCTTTGTGTGTATCACGTCGAACGTGGACCAATTCCTCGCGCATGGAGAGGCAGTGGTCCACATTCTGAGCACTCTCACTGCTATAGTACGCAGCACCCTGTGATTCTTTCCATAAGTCAACCACCATTGTGCCATAGAGATTACAACTGCCTGCCAAAGCCTCCTCAGAGTTCATTCCCGTCTACACTGGATCCATGTAATAGAAACTCTGAACTGCGTCCCAACTGCAACGAACCACTTACATTGTCACTCCAGGCACACGCACCGTGAGAGCTCACACAAAGTCCAAACCGTAATCCAGAGATGGTGAGACCAGATTAGCGCAGCTCATAAACTTCCATGAATGGTCTTATTATACAAGCAAGAGTTCATGTCACCAAGCGCTCAACAGTGCAACATCATATCATGCAGATTTAGAGCCTGAGTCACCTTCGCTCATCAGCGCATCCTCCAGCATCGTCAATCCAGGCAAGTGACTCGCTCTCCTCTCTCTTTCCCCCACTCTGTCTCACTCCTCTCTGGGCTTGTATCACTCAACCTCTCTGCCTCACTCTCGCTCTCTCTCCCTCTCACTTGAGGATAAACTCCTCCTCCCCTAGCTCCACTACACTCCACAGCCGTGCGCCTGTCGCCGCCTGTCTGCCTCAGCATAGCGCTGCCCAAGCAGCACCAGCAGCGCTTCCACTTTCTCATGAATCAGCAATCTGCCCAAATGAGTCAAGGCCAGTTTCTTTTATTGGCTTCAACTGGGCTTTGCTTCACTCGGCCTGTGCTTGACTGGTCATGGGTCTGACTTTGACTGGTACCGTTCACCTGCGGCCTGTTTGAGGCCTGCTACCTTCCAGACTTTTCTTGGTGCACTGCTGCATTTTGACTGAGGGGACTTGATTTGAGACTGGGTATCAGCCAAATTTTGACCCTGTGGGGTACCCGACACAATCATTTTCTGTTTCGGCCTTATCGGCCTCTTTTGACTGAGGGACCTATGACCCTGAAATTCGAGGTTGGGGTCTGCAGCATGAAAAGTCTTGGAAGAATTGAGAGGATCTGTGTTGCCGGTGCAACATCCACGCAGGTACATGCACTGGGAGAGCCAGCATCTTCACACGATCTTTCAATTCTTCATTGCGAACTCCCTCGAGTCCTAATCCATGGGCAAGGCGGCCATCCTTTTCTCCAAGGTGATTTCCAAAGACCACATCTGCTTTCCCATCCTCCCATCTCTGTTGATCTTCTTCATCAACGCCTAAACGGGTTGAACCAAAGTGGCAGGCCGCTCAAAAGGGAACCACCAGGTTAGGTCTCGAATTAGCTCCTCGCACCCTCGCGCCCGTGTCGCTGCCTGCTGGTCTCATGGGGCTCATCCCACTGTGGACCCCAGCAGCACCAATTCCACCTCATGAAGTCTCAGCAGGAAAAGGTAGTTTGTGCCTAATCGTTTTCCCCCTGGCTGTCCGGTACTCCCTCCCGCCAAAGCCCTCTGATGTCTCTTGACCCCATCTCTCTCTCTCTCTCTCTCTCTCTCTCTCTCTCTCTCTCTCTCTCTCT